TTCACCTCTGTATTTTGGGTATTTGGTCCTTCGATCGAGGGATTTAAATTTTGTCGGCCGATCCTTAGCATTGATGGGACACACTTATACGGTAAATATAAGGGTGTATTGCTTGTCGCTACAGGAGTAGATGCAGATGGGGGCTTATTTCCTTTGGCCTTCGCAGTTGTAGAGGTCGAGAATAGTGAAAATTGGGAGTGGTTTTTTTCTTGCATCCAATTATATATTTTTAATGTGTTGCCTCCTAGAAAAATTACTTTTATATCCGATAGGATGAAAGGTATTCCAAGAGCATTGTACAGGAGATTTGGCTCTGATCACAATCACCGCTATTGCTTACGACACATTAGAGCTAATTTTAAAAAGAGCTTTGGTCAAGTACATCTACAAAACCTTCTTTGGCAAGCGGGTGTTACACCCGAAACATGTGTGTATGATCGGATACGGGATCAAATCAAGGCAACATCTCCAGCTGCACATGATTGGATTGAGAGTAGTTTGGGAAGCGATTACGTCGACCGGTGGGCTCTAAGTAAAGATGGAGGGAATCGCTATTGCATGATGACAACTAATTGTTCTGAAAGCTTCAATGGTGTACTTAAGGGGGCTCGAGCAATGCCCATACAGGCGTTGGTTGCGAGGACATTTTATAGACTAAATAAGTATTTTGTCAAGCGGCGAGAGGATGGAGCAAAGTGGGGGACGTTGTTGACCCCAAAAAATGAAGAGATTATAGGAGCTCGTGTCAAGCAGGCCAGATTGACTAAGATTGTGAGATTTGCTATAGATGAATGGGAGGTTACAGACAATCACGGTCATAATTACACCGTCAATCTACGAGGAACACAATGCGCATGCACCTGTAACATTCCAGATTTGCAAAAATTGCCATGTGCACATGTTATAGCGGTTACGACCAAGCAATTTGGGGGTGCAAATACATCGTATTACACATACGCTTCTGAGTGGTACCAATCAAGCCACTATAGAGATTCATACAGTCAGTTTTTTCATCCCATTGTAGATAGTCGTTACTGGCCACCCTATAACGGGCCGCATGTGTTACCTCCTGAATTTAAGCGGCAAGCCGGACGCCCGAGATCAACACGCATAAAGTCTACGATGTTTTACTTCGTTATATTCTACTTCATTTATATCATCATATGTGCAGATATGGAGGTGGGTCCATTGACGTATGAGGTCCTTTATGACCAACCTCGACATCGATCCGCGAAGATTGACACTGAGGAGGTAATTAGATTGATAGTTATAAATTACTTTTTTAATCATATCAATTATTCTAAGTTATTGACTGTTACTGAACATTTACACTGTTTATTATATGCAGGCCCCGAGCATTACTATCGTTGATCACACTCGTGCACACTCGAGCTGGGAGTTGACCGATCCACATGTCCAATATTATGTTCGTCAAGCATGCTTCTTTGAGTGCTCACAAATTAAATGGGTGAGACTTGATTGGGCTCTCTTGACAGCACTGGTTGAACGATGGAGGCCCGAGACAAACACATTCCACCTGCGCCAAGGAGAGTCGACGATTACATTGCAGGATGTTGGGGTTTTGCTTGAACTCAGAGTGGATGGAGATGATGTCACAGGTAGCGATGACTTCGACTGGTCAGGGAAGTGTGATGCATTTCTGGGTCAAGTTCCTCACATGAGGGGTGGAAGGATCAAGCTTGAATGGTTGAGAAACAACTACATGAATGTTCCAATCGATGCGACCGAGGAGATCGTCAAGATGTATGCTCGCGCATACATACTTCACATGATCAGTACTATTCTTTTCTCGGATTCCACGAAGGATTCGGTGTACGTGAGGTGGTTTCCACTCCTAGAGGATCTTGTGGATTATGGTGGATTGTCATGAGGGAGTGCCGTGTTAGCGTATCTGTATAGGGAGATGACCAAAGCGGCTCTTGTTCCAAACAAAGAATTTAAGGGTTGTCTCACTCTGCTATAGATATGGTATTGGGAGAGATTGCATTTGGGTTGCCCAGATTTGAGGGAGACACGTGCTCTCGATGACCATATTCCGTTAGGCTGCAGGTATTACTAAGTTATTTTGAAAAATATATGATTACATATAATTTTATACATTTATTTTAATTTATACTAACTCATTGTATATAAAATAGATTGAATGTATCCAGATCTTGGCATACCTCACCAAAGGGCCATGAAAAGGTCTATAGGAACGAGCTCGATCAAATGGAGGACGAACATGTATTAAATCATAATATCTAAAAATTTCAATCATTACATCATTTATTACTGAAATCTGTTTTACTTTATCTTTTTATAGGTCAAGTGGATACCATATGCACTAGTTTTAGAGTCACTATCAGATATATGCAGAGAAGAGCCGGATGTATAGCGTGCTCGTGTCCCGATCATATGTTTGAGATTATCGAGATGCACGTGCCTGACCGTGTGCTCCGACAATTTGGGCTATAACAACATATCCCGGACCCTGTGGAAATAATAGAGGTAAATCCCAGAAAAGGTGTACATCGTCAAGATTGGGAACATATTCACTATGCTTACATCGGGAGGTGGGATTGGAGGGAAGAACGATTGGTGATGGAGAGGGCTGGCGCACCTGACCTAGGTGTGTATTTGCTGTGGTATTGGGGGATTACTCGCCGGTGGATATTTCAAGAGAACAAAGCCCCTAAGGAGTACATACCAAGAGGCCCTGTTGAGAGAGAGTTGATAAGTGTATAAGCAAAATATACAATTATCTTATGAGTTTTATTTTATTATCATACAAATCATAATAATTTTCTTAGGGTTTTAATCTTATAGGTACAAGAGCTCGAAAAACTTTTTACTATGGCGCATGATGCAATCCGAACGACTACCGAGCCATAAGAGAACAAAGCCCCTAAGGAGTACATACCAAGAGGCCCTGTTGAGAGAGAGTTGATAAGTGTATAAGCAAAATATACAATTATCTTATGAGTTTTATTTTATTATCATACAAATCATAATAATTTTCTTAGGGTTTTAATCTTATAGGTACAAGAGCTCGAAAAACTTTTTACTATGGCGCATGATGCAATCCGAACGACTACCGAGCCATGGCCGAGGAACACGTTCATTCATATGATTAAAAAGATTCGGTCCACTCTTCATAGACGTATAATGCAAGACGTGATGGACGTGAGGAGAGACCAATTGAGTACGGTCGTCGACGATTCCGAGGACACACGGGGGCAAGCTCAAGCGGTGGACATGATGAAGCTGGCGGCTCATAGCAGGCCCAAGCCGGATGTTCACATTCGGTTCGAGTCGATGAAGATGTCATGCACTCCCAACTTGACACACAACTGGACGAGGAACTCATTCGAGCTCACGTCGAAGGTGAACGTGTCAAGGGGGAGAGGGAGAAGGAGAGGGAGAGGGAGAGGAAAGGGAGAGGGAGAGGGAGAGGAAAGGGAGTTGTATCCGATTGAAACTGAATATTATGTATCTGATTGAGTATTGATAGGATGTTTGCGTTTGAAACTAAATATTATGTATTCGATTGAGTATTGATTATTAGTATGTGAATTGCATGGTATGTATCCGATTGATTATGGATTTTTATTTGAGATTATTGATTGGTATGTGTGTTATTGTGATTGTGATTGCATTGTGGATTTATATGTAACAGCAGGAGTTTGAATTTCTAGCTAAAAGTGTGTGTAGTAGAGTCTACCAAATGGTCGAGGTTGGGAACCCTGACCATTTTGTGCACGTACACGAAACGATCGGGGTTCCCAAACCCGACCATTTTGTTGTAGGAAAATTCTCCTCTGCTAAATGGTCGGGGTTCCCAACCCTGACCGTTTTCAGCTCCATTCAGCGACTGGGATAGAGCTCTCTGCCATAGGGTCGGGGTTTGTAACCCCGACCATTTCGAAAGCCCATTTCAAAATGGTCGGGGTTGCCAACCATGACCAATTAGACATGACACTAAATTAGTCGGGCCGGGTTGGCAACCCCGACTGATTTAGGTTGTACATAACTAAATAGCCGGGGTTGGCAACCCCGACTATTTAGAGGCGTCATTAAAAAAACCGACTCATTTCGTGGCCACGCTGTTGACGTGGCGCGAAAATGGGTGCGAATTTGAGAAATAAATGGCGGGGTTGGTCGAATTTTTGAATTAAAAAAAATTAAATGGGTTTGTTTTTGAAAATTACTCCTTCTCTTTATATATATATATATATACTATCAATATATATATATATATATTACTATTACTATATATATAATATCAGAAAATGGAGAAAGAGCTGACAACTTCTTCTCCCCTAGTGAGTGAACAGGTCCATGACATGTGGGCCTCCTATAGTCACATCAGTGTGGAAGCTCACATGTCGCAACAAGCTAAACAGCTCACAGATGGGAGAAGAGCTGTCCTGCTGCTTCTCAGCCATCCCCCCCCCCCTCTTCTCTCTCTCTCTGTCTCTCTCTCTCTATATATATATTATAGTATATAATATATATATAGATATATACTATATTATATATATATTATAATATATATATATATAAATAAAAGATAAATGCCAATTAGTACAACTATGTATAAAAAAAATTTGCCATTCTAAATGCATATGCTAATTAACACAGAAACGGGTCAGTCTCATCATTAAACAGGATTGTCAAAAAGTTTGTTAATCTAATCGGCCTGAAGGGTTAATAACATTTAAGAAAATCTTCAGAATTGACTAAACAAAATTCCCAGTTCATTTATGACATATATAGTGGGTAAAATCTCTCTGAATGAACAAGAGGTTTAAGTTTCTCATTATCTTCATCTTTACCAAGTCATGACACAAGTTCTTCAAAAAGTAGAGACAGTCAATGGATATAGCATGACATCTCCATAGAGCCTTCAATTAGATAGATAGTCAGTATCTCAAACTTTACAACTAAATTCAGGGAATGGTAAGAAAGAAACTAAAATAAAAAAGTAAAAAAAATCATGGAATAACCACGGCATAATTTCCTTTTTTGGTGCATGAGAATTTCATTGCTACAATTTTCACTATAGAATATTTATTATTTGTATGTTATACAACTGTAATCTACTAGAATAATTAAACCAAGATGTTATTGAAAAATTTACGAGAAACAAGCAAACTACACCAAAATAGCAGATTGAAAGAAGGACTTCGTCATAAGGCTACACCATAGGAATCATATAAGCTATCAGAACCAAAAAGGCTGAAGCAAACATTACGTTAGTTGGCATGCGGCCATTATCACTTCTTAAGAACAAAGCCTGGTAAACTGGAGCATTAATCAGAACTATAAGCCCACAAATGAGAATTTGCAGAAGTAGTGAATCTAAAATCTCAACTCCCTCATCCATTACCATTCTCTTAACTCCAATAGCTAAGCAAAGAAGATTGAGCATTGCAATTGTAGTGAGAATGACAAACATCGGGGAAGATGAGCCAAACTCCATCATCTCATTTTCATACCTCTTTGAGACCTCTTCATCAACTACCTTTGCAGTAATTATGAATGCCGACTTTGTAACACCTAGCAATTTGAGGAATGTGTCTACTAGTGCAAAAAGGTATGAGGTTGTCCTCTTAAACAGCCATATCCTTTGTTCATTCCACCACCCTTGCAGTGTGTATCCTAGACAGAGGCATTCAACTATGCTGTAAATGAAACTGGCTCCGGCTACAAATGCAAATGATATGAACCACAAGCTGGAGAGCTGCAGATTAATTCAGCATACGTTTTAGCATATATATAATAAATAGATACATATAATAAACATACATGCATGCACAAGCATACACCTATATCTAATACATACACGTACACATATATACGTCTACATATACATAAACTTATACATGTATAAATAATTAGATAAATAAACGAGTGTATGTGTGTGTGCGCACGCATGCACCTGCACATGAACATGCATATATGATATAAATAAATGAGTGTATGTGGCGCGCATGCACCTGCACATGAACATGCATACATGATACCCATACAAATTAGTGTACACCTGCACATGCATAGTGGAATACATACATACGTACATACATACATACATACATGTGTACTGACACTGACACATGTGTACACATAGACATATGTAATTAATATTTATATTACTGATAAAAAGACAAACAGATAGATAGATAGAGAGGGAAAAAGGTGTGGAGAAAGATATATACACTTGGGAACAGGGAAATTCCGTTAAAAAGAAAAAGAGCAGGGACGATGGCATAGTATAGAATCGGCAGTGAGTTAGGGGCCCAAAAGAAATACGTGGAGTAACACATCTGAAGGCCAAGAGATATTCTCCCATGCCCATATATAAAGGGACAATACTTTGACAGAAATATCTGGAAATCTCCTTCAGACCACCTCTTATGCTGCACAAGTGTTTGTGACAGCGTCGATGGAGCAACGCCTAAGAATCCTTTCCTTTGAGGATTGTAATAAACGGACTTCCATCCTTTGCATTGTATTGAGAGGCCAGTGATCACATCCTCTACAGGGAAGCCATACTTCAATCCCATCTGATAAAGTAAATTAATTCAATTTCATACACCGATATACATTATTGCAGATATATCTGTAGTATGGGAAATGTAAGATTAGACCTCTTTTCCCCATTGAGAGTTTTCTTCGTATGTGCATGTGGCTAGGTTCTTTGCTCTCTCTTCCAAGGTGTATACATTTGATTGAGCTATGCTAGGCCTGTCTCCTCTTAATTCAGCCTTATACGCTTCACTGTATTTCTTCCCACATAAGCTCTCTCTTCTATGAAAACAACCAGAACCAATATAAAGTGGTCCGCCATGACCATCCATGCCGTGAAAATCCACCTTTATTGACAAGAGATTGAGAAAAAGAAATTAATAAGGCAATGGCCAAGCTTCACTCACAATGACAATGAATACAGACCAAGGCTGCGTTTGGGAACTAAGATTCGGATTTGGAAGATTGATTTAAAATCAATGGATTTCAAATCTAGGATTTAAAATCCATGATTTAATAAAATTATTTGTTTGGATATCATTACTAAAGGCAAGGATTTGAAATCAAAGATTTAAAATCTAATGTTTGGATATATTTTATTATACATAAATTTGGATTTGAAATAAACTTTGAGAAGTGATTCAAAATCAAAATCGATCTCTTCAGTAGCAATCATAAATTCACATGCAAACATCTTATCCTTCATGAATCAGTATGAGAGAATACAAAAATAATAATGATGTCCAAAATATTCATTATTATGAGTCTATGACATTTTTTTCGTGGTTTCATCAATACTAAATTGACCTTCGATCCCCAAAGAATAAAAATACTACTCCATTAACTAGTCATGATAAAAAGACTCAATGACACAATAGAGTTTAGCAAAAAATCCTCATAAGAAGCTCTAGGCTACACAATAAGCCTTCATTTAAAATACAACATGCTATAGATAGTTGATAACCATGATTTGCTACAAGTAACCATGATTTGCTACAACTAGCCAAATTACTACAACATAAACTATTAAAAGAAAACATATGTAGAATCCTCTATTTATCCTTCAACTCTTCTCCTTTCTCTCCATTGTGTCCAACTTCATGTCTCGAAGAATTTATTGAGTCCTACATTACACAATTTAGCATCAATTAGTCAATGACACAAAAATCGACAGACATTATTATCTAATGAATTCAAACCATGCTAAAATCCAATCAAGATGATCAGGATAGTTTTTAATGTTGAACAAATCATAATGACGAAAATTGATAAAGTTTAGAAACTTGAAGCAAGAGTTAGAACACAAAATATGCATGCAGCGTACTAGTTTTATAGGAAAAATGCATGAGAAAAAGCATATGCTACTTAAGACAGCTAAACGGCATATATCATAGCACTTGTCCAAAAAGAAATCCAAGAGAGAACTTACCTAAACAGGTTCAAAGATTTGACAAATCTCGTCATCCAACAAGAAACTATCTCAATGCGTAGACATAGTGGATTAGCCTTTTTAGTTAAATTGATCTTAGTCTGTTACTATACTTAAAAACATCATCCTAGACATAGTGGATTAGCCTTTTTAGTTAAATTGATCTTAGTCTGTTACTATACTTAAAAACATCATCCTATATGATTGAGATCCAAGACATAGTGGATTTTTCAACATACTTCTGTGAGTTCCTACGTTCTGCTTAGAAACTACCCGCATATCCCCATGTTTGCATCTCTTCTCCTTTTCACACACATCAGTGGTCCTTGTTCCCTCCATGCACATCTCCTATTTCCTTCAGTGATATCTGAAGCTGCTTCAAAGTAATTTTTTTATTCGGTGATATCTGAAGCCACTTTAAAGTAATTTTTTTATAATCATATTCAGTTGCATAGCATGACATAGATATACAACAAATGCCAGAAGACTGTCCAAATGCAAAGAGTGAACATATAACCAAAGGCTATACTACTTTGATTTATAAGATGCATATCAGGTTCTTATTTAAAAGTAGAATACAAAATATATCTTCATGTGAATGGCATTATGAACAAAGTAGCAGTGCCACACTAATGTTTGCTATCTGATACAGGTAAATAAAATGAATTCATGTTATAAAGATATAAACACTAGATATTACTTCAATTAGCAACGTTATAAGAATGAATCAGGCAATAAACAATTATGGATGCTAATAAATGATGATGAAAATATTTTGCATCTTCTTCAAACAGTAAAACTACCAGCAAACTCATTCCAAAGGAAAGGATAAGCGGCTAACTTAAATAACAATATCACTGCTGCTGAAGTAAACAAGAATTAAGGGGCATATCAAAGCAAAAACTAAAGACTTATTTTCTTTCCAAATGGCTAAAATCAGGTCATCGAGTCTGGGAGTATTCATCTGTATCAAGTGCTCAGGTGTTCATAGAAGTCTTGGAGTTCATATATCATAGGTATTCACTAGCTAATTATCCACTGAGGGGAAAAAACTGTCTACAGACCAGTCCACCAAACAGAGAAAAGCGAGATATTAAATACAAGATCAAAAGATGAAAACCACAAAGGCATCAAATAATCCTAGAGGCAAGAGAATGCAGAAGGATGTACATGATCAGCTAATTAAGCCCAGAAAATTCTCAAATTCATGGACCCAATAGTCCCCCCCCCTCCTTTTTTAAGACACGAGACCATAGAACCCAAAAAAAATTGTTTTTGCGGTTCCAAATTCATGTGGTGATAAAAGACATCTAACTGCTGTTAGTTTAGATTAAATCTCACCTTAAAATCCCCTTCATAAAAACAACGAAAAGGATCAGAAACAGAAACAGCTCAAAAATCAACGATCAAACTATTACCTCTTTGAGAGGAACCCTCGCGTCTCAAGTACTCGTCCTCGTCTTCTTCACTGGATCTCGAGAGAATCTCCATCCGTCGATTCTTCGAAGTCTACGAAACCCTAACCCTAGGTTCAGAGAGAGAGAGAGAGAGAGAGAGAGAGGAGATGATGGTGGCCGAGGAGGGGGGGGGGGGGGGAGTAGAGGAGAGGAGGAAGAGACTACCTGCGATGGAGAGAGATCGAGATTGAGATTGAGATCGAGATCGAGATTTTGAGGACTCGGGACTTCGACACGAGCGTGAGAGATGAAAAAAAGAGGAGTCGGGGTTTTGAGGGGTAGGGATTGTGGGGATGAGGATTTGATAAATACCAACTACTTTGGTGAAATTTGAAATCCATAGTTTTAGGCTTTTCAAATTCACTCTATAAAATGACTTGATTTAAAATCATGGTTTAAAGTTGAGTCCAAACATGATATTTGGATTTGAAATGCCCAGAATTTCAAATCCAAGCCCAAATCAGCATTCCCAAACACATGAGATCTTATTGTCAGTTTACACATATGTTTCTGGGTGGCATCAATCAAGCCACTATAGAGATTCATACAGTCAGTTTTTTCATCCCATTGTAGATAGTCGTTACTGGCCACCCTATAACGGGCCGCATGTGTTACCTCCTGAATTTAAGAGACAAGCCGGACGCCCGAGATCAACACGCATAAAATCTACGATGGATGGAGGTCAGGAAGGAGTTCTAAAAAAATAGGTGTGGATATTGTAGACAACCGGGCCACAGGAGATCTTATTGTCCCACAAATCTAAATAAATAACAATTAATGGGTACAATTAATTTATTTTTTATTAATTATTCTACTTCATTTATATTCAAAATTTGAACTTTTATTTTACTTCGTTATATTCTACTTCATTTATATCATCATATGTGCAGATATGGAGGTGGGTCCATTGACGTATGAGGTCCTTTATGACCAACCTCGACATCGATCCGCGAAGATTGACACTGAGGAGGTAATTAGATTGATAGTTATAAATTACTTTTTTAATCATATCAATTATTCTAAGTTATTGATTGTTACTGAACATTTGCACTGTTTATTATATGCAGGCCCCGAGCATTACTATCATTGATCATACTCATGCACATTCGAGTTGGGAGTTGACCGATCCACATGTTTAATATTATGTCCGTCAAGCATGCTTCTTTGAGTGCTCACAAATTAAATGGGCGAGACTTGATTGGGCTCTCTTGACAGCACTGGTTTAATGATGGAGACCCGAGACAAACACATTCCACTTGCGCCAAGGAGAGTCGACGATTACATTGCAGGATGTTGGGGTTTTGCTTGAACTCAAAGTGGATGGAGATGATGTCAGAGGCTCACATGAGGGGTGGAAGGATCAAGCTTGAATGGTTGAGAAACAACTACATGAATGTTCCAATCGATGCGACCGAGGAGATCGTCAAGATGTATGCTCGCGCATACATACTTCACATGATCAGTACTATTCTTTTCTCGGATTCCACGAAGGATTCGGTGTACGTGAGGTGGTTTCCACTCCTAGAGGATCTTGTGGATTATGGTGGATTGTCATGAGGGAGTGCCGTGTTAGCGTATCTGTATAGGGAGATGACCAAAGTGGCTCTTGTTCAAAACAAAGAATTTAAGGGTTGTCTCACTCTGCTATAGATATGGTATTGGGAGAGATTGCATTTGGGTTGCCCAGATTTGAGGGAGACACGTGCTCTCGATGACCATATTCCGTTAGGCTGCAGGTATTACTAAGTTATTTTGAAAAATATATGATTACATATAATTTTATACATTTATTTTAATTTATACTAACTCATTGTATATAAAATAGATTGAATGTATCCAGATCTTGGCATACCTCACCAAAGGGCCATGAAAAGGTCTCATAGGACGAGCTTCGTCCTGGAGGACGAACAGCTATTAATCATAATATCTAAAAATTCAATGGCATTACATCATTTATTACTGAAATCTGTGTTTTACATTTATCTTTTTATAGGTCAAAGTGGATACCATATGCACAGTTTTAGAGTCACCTATCAGATATATGCAGAAGAGCCGGATGTATTAGCCGTGGCTCGTGTCGGGCGATCATGATGTTTGAGAATTATCGAGTATGCACGTGCCTGACCGGTGTGCTCGGACATTTGGGTTACAACATATCCGGACCTGTGGAAATAATAGAGGTAAGATCCGAACAGAAAAGGCTGTAACATGTCAAGATTGGGAACATATTCACTATGCTTCATCGGGATAGGTGGGATTGGAGGGAAGAAGATTTGGTGATGGAGAGGGTGGCCGCACCTGACGCTAGGGTGTATTTGCTGTGGTATTGGGGGATTACTCGCCGGTGGATATTTCAAGAGAACAAAGCCCTAAGGAGTACATACCAAGAGGCGTTGAGAGAGAGTTGTATAAGTGTATAAGCAAAATATACATTATGTTATGAGTTTTAATTTTAATTAATCATACAAATCGATAATAATTATTTTCTTAGTGGTTTTAATTTATAGGTACAAGAGCTGCGAAAAACTTTTTACTATGCGGCATGATGCAATCGCGAAGGACTACCGAGCCATGGCCGAGGAACAACGTTCATTCATATGATTAAAAGATTCGGTCCACTCTTCATAGCCGTATAATGCCAAGAGCGTGTATGGACGTGAGGAGAGACCAATTGAGTACGGTCGTCGACGATTCCGAGGACACACGGGGGCAAGCTCAAGCGTGGACATGATGATAGCTGGCGGCATAGCAGGCCCAAGCCGGATGTTCAGTTTCGGTTCGAGTCGATGAAGATGTCATGGCACTCCCAGACTTGACACCAACTGTGACGAGGAACTCATTCGAGCTCACGTCGAAGGTGAAGCGTGTCAAGGGGGAGAGGGAGAAGGAGAGGGAAGAGGGAGAGGAAAGGGAGAGGGGAGAGGGAGGGATAGGGAGTTGTATCGATTGAACTGAATATTATGTATCTGATTGAGTATTGATAGGACTGTTTGGCGTTTGAACACTAATATTATGTATTCGATTGGAGTATTGATTATTAGCTATGTGAATTCATGGTATGTATCCGATTGATTATGGATTTTTATTTGAGATTATTGATTTGGTATGTGTGTTATTGTGATTGTGATTGCATTGTGGATTTATATGTACAGCAGGAGGTTTGAATTTCTAGGTAAAAGTGTGTGTAGTAGAGTCTACAAATGGTCGAGGTTGGGACCCTGACATATTTGTGGCAGTACACGAAACGATCGGGTTCCAAACCCGACCATTTTGTTGTAGGAAATTCTCTCTGGCTAAATGGTCGGGGTTCCCAACGCCTGACGCGTTTCAGTCCATTCAGGCGACTGGATAGTAGGCTCTTGGCCATAGGGTCGGGGTTTGTAACCCCGACATTTCGAAAGCTGCCATTTCAAATGGTCGGGGTTGCCACATGACCAATTAACATGAACTAAATTAGTCGGGCCGGGTTGGCAACGCACTGATTTAGTTGTACATAACTAATAGCGGGGGTTGGCAACCCCGACTATTTAGAGGGTCATTAAAAAAACGCACTCATTTCGTGGCCACGCTGTTGAGCGTGGCACGAAATGGGTCGATTTTGAGAATAAAATGGGAGTTGGTCGAATTTTTGAATAAAAAAATTAAATGGGTTTGTTTTGAAAATTTCTCCTTTCTTTTATATATATTATATATATATATATATATATTAATATATATATATATTATTATATATATATAATATATTATATATATATATCAGAAAAATGGAGAAAGAGCTGACAACGTTTCTCCCCTGTGAGCTGACAGGTCCATGACATGTGGGCTCCTACTGTCACATCAGTGTGGAAGCTCAATGTACAATCATACAGCTCACAGGTGCGGAAAGCAGTGTCTGGCTTTCTCCAGCTACCCCGCCTCTCTCTCTCCTCTCTCTCTCTCTCTCTTTCTATATATATATATATATATATATATATATAAATAAAAGATAAATGCCAATTAGTAGCAACTATGTATAAAAAAAATTTGCATTCTGAAATGCATATGCTAATTAAACACAGAAACGGTCAGTCTCATCATTAACAGATGTCAAAAAGTTTGTTAATCATAATCGCTGCAAGGGTTAATAACATAAGAAAATCTTCAGAATTGATAAACAAAAATTCCCAGTGTCATTATGACATATATAGTGGTAAAATCTCTCTGAATGAACAAGAGGTTTAAGTTTCAATTCTCTCTTTACCAAGTCATGACCAATTCTTCAAAAAATTGAGGACAGTCAATGGATATGCTTGACATCTCCATAGAGCCTTCAATTAGATAGATAGTCAGTATCTCAAACTTTACAACTAAATTCAGGGAATGGTAAGAAAGAAACTAAAATAAAAAAGTAAAAAAAATCATGGAATAACCACGGCATAATTTCCTTTTTTGGTGCATGAGAATTTCATTGCTACAATTTTCACTATAGAATATTTATTATTTGTATGTTATACAACTGTAATCTACTAGAATAATTAAACCAAGATGTTATTGAAAAATTTACGAGAAACAAGCAAACTACACCAAAATAGCAGATTGAAAGAAGGACTTCGTCATAAGGCTACACCATAGGAATCATATAAGCTATCAGAACCAAAAAGGCTGAAGCAAACATTACGTTAGTTGGCATGCGGCCATTATCACTTCTTAAGAACAAAGCCTGGTAAACTGGAGCATTAATCAGAACTATAAGCCCACAAATGAGAATTTGCAGAAGTAGTGAATCTAAAATCTCAACTCCCTCATCCATTACCATTCTCTTAACTCCAATAGCTAAGCAAAGAAGATTGAGCATTGCAATTGTAGTGAGAATGACAAACATCGGGGAAGATGAGCCAAACTCCATCATCTCATTTTCATACCTCTTTGAGACCTCTTCATCAACTACCTTTGCAGTAATTATGAATGCCGACTTTGTAACACCTAGCAATTTGAGGAATGTGTCTACTAGTGCAAAAAGGTATGAGGTTGTCCTCTTAAACAGCCATATCCTTTGTTCATTCCACCACCCTTGCAGTGTGTATCCTAGACAGAGGCATTCAACTATGCTGTAAATGAAACTGGCTCCGGCTACAAATGCAAATGATATGAACCACAAGCTGGAGAGCTGCAGATTAATTCAGCATACGTTTTAGCATATATATAATAAATAGATACATATAATAAACATACATGCATGCACAAGCATACACCTATATCTAATACATACACGTACACATATATACGTCTACATATACATAAACTTATACATGTATAAATAATTAGATAAATAAACGAGTGTATGTGTGTGTGCGCACGCATGCACCTGCACATGAACATGCATATATGATATAAATAAATGAGTGTATGTGGCGCGCATGCACCTGCACATGAACATGCATACATGATACCCATACAAATTAGTGTACACCTGCACATGCATAGTGGAATACATACATACGTACATACATACATACATACATGTGTACTGACACTGACACATGTGTACACATAGACATATGTAATTAATATTTATATTACTGATAAAAAGACAAACAGATAGATAGATAGAGAGGGATAAAGGTGTGGAGAAAGATATATACACTTGGGAACAGGGAAATTCCGTTAAAAAGAAAAAGAGCAGGGACGATGGCATAGTATAGAATCGGCAGTGAGTTAGGGGCCCAAAAGAAATACGTGGAGTAACACATCTGAAGGCCAAGAGATATTCTCCCATGCCCATATATAAAGGGACAATACTTTGACAGAAATATCTGGAAATCTCCTTCAGACCACCTCTTATGCTGCACAAGTGTTTGTGACAGCGTCGATGGAGCAACGCCTAAGAATCCTTTCCTTTGAGGATTGTAATAAACGGACTTCCATCCTTTGCATTGTATTGAGAGGCCAGTGATCACATCCTCTACAGGGAAGCCATACTTCAATCCCATCTGATAAAGTAAATTAATTCAATTTCATACACCGATATACATTATTGCAGATATATCTGTAGTATGGGAAATGTAAGATTAGACCTCTTTTCCCCATTGAGAGTTTTCTTCGTATGTGCATGTGGCTAGGTTCTTTGCTCTCTCTTCCAAGGTGTATACATTTGATTGAGCTATGCTAGGCCTGTCTCCTCTTAATTCAGCCTTATACGCTTCACTGTATTTCTTCCCACATAAGCTCTCTCTTCTATGAAAACAACCAGAACCAATATAAAGTGGTCCGCCATGACCATCCATGCCGTGAAAATCCACCTTTATTGACAAGAGATTGAGAAAAAGAAATTAATAAGGCAATGGCCAAGCTTCACTCACAATGACAATGAATACAGACCAAAGGAATTCACGGTGATGCTGAAAGATAAGTTCATAAAATTTGCACTAAAATTTATTGTATAGCTTCTCCTTAATGATCAATGGTTCATACTAGTGATCATGTGTCTCTTCTTTACCAACCAAAAATGAATTTCGACTCGTTATCATAACTTGATAGTCTTTTTGGTTTTTGCTAAACATTCATTAATTAATAGAAGGAGAAAGGTTGACTCTGTTTTTTTTTCTTAACAACAAAAATTTACCTCGAACTTTGTTATAAAACTTCAGTGAAGTTCAGAGAATACTTACATCACTAATAAATTTCAAGGAACTTGCATAGAGATCATTCTTTGTGACATTATCAAAGTTTTGAGGAAACTGCACATAAGCAATCTCCCGACCTTTCTCTTCATCCATAAAGAAGCACAGAGCATCCCTCACTGATTCTGAGTTGTTAGAATACATATCACAGTCCACATTGAGAATGACTGGCCCGTTACTTATCTCGGATGATACCCTAAGCTGTACATTAAGCAAAGTTCAGGCAATGGTGATGTTGTATGTGAATGTATTAGAGTTTATGAAATACACTCATATTCGCAAATGTTTAAGAAAATTGAAGTGGAAGTGACGCAAAATAAGATTATTGTAGTGGACTTGTCAAGTTGTCATACAACTTAATATGTAAATAAAAGATTAATGTTACATATAGTTTGCTTAACGTCAATACATTGTATATAGATTTTACCAATGCATTCATCGCTCCAGCTTTAAAGTTATGATGGTATTCGGGTCTTTTCTCGCGAGCCATGTAAACAAGAGTAGGTAGTGAGCATCCTCCAGAATCACATTCAGTCTGATCTCTTCCATCAATTAATACCTAAGGTAAAAAAGAGAGATTAGAGATCTGTTCTACTTATGTGAGGTTTGTAAAAGTATTGAAATTGTTGAATAACGACATAGCCTTTTTCATTGATATTAGGAGATATTTATAGAATTGCAATAGAATCAATTAGTTATATAAAATCTAAAACTATGTGAATAGTTACATAATTGTTGGAACTAAAAGGGGTAAGTGAGCTGTCGAGATATTAACAGAATATCATACAATAGGAAAGAATCACAGGGCGGTGTCGACTGACACCGCAGGACGTGTCGACTAAGATCACCTTTCGTGTCGACTCAAAGGGTGTCGTCTCGTCTGGACTCGTCTTGTCTGGACTCGTCTCGTCTGGTTTGGTGTCGTCAGAGCGTGTCGACTGACACCGTAGGACGTGTTGACTAAGACCGCCTTTTATGTCAACACAAGAGGTGTCGTCTCATCTGGACTTGTCTTGTTTGGTCTCGTCAGAGCGTGTTGACTGACACCGTAGGTCGTGCAGACTAAGACCGCTTTTCATGTCGACAAAAGTGGTGTCGTCTCGTCTGGACTCGTCTCGTGTCGTCTGGTCTCGTCTCGTCTGGTCTAGTTGCAATTCCTTAATATGCCCCTGTAAGTTGAATCTCCTTGAGGAGAGACCAGTCTTGATCAGCAAGTTATGGAAACGCGTGCGGGGTAGTGGTTTGGTGAGTGCATCAGCTAGTTGGTCCATGGAAGAGACATGAGTGACTCTTAAGATGCCTTCTTGGACTTGTTGTCAAATGAAGTGAAAGTCGAGAGCAACATGTTTCATTCGAGAATGGAAGACCGGATTAGAGCAGAGATTTGTTGCGCCCACATTATCATAGTAGATTATCGGCTGTTGTGATGATGTGAGCCCAAGTTTGCCTAGAAGAGATGTGATCCATCTCAACTCGGCAGCCGCGTTGTTTCTTCGAACTCCAGGATATCAGGTTTCGACCAAGATATACAATGTAGGCACTGGTGGATGTGGAGTCGTCTTTGTTACCTGCCCAGTTGGCATCTGAGTAGGTGTGGAGAGTGAGAGGTGATTGATGATGTAACATGATGCCGTAATCAATGGTGCAACACAGATATCTGAGAAGTCGTTTGGTGGCGTTCCAATGGTCTGTAGTCAGACGATGCATATATTGTAAAAGTATTGAAATTGCTGAATAATGACATAACCTTTTTCATTGATATTAGGAGATATTTATAGGATTACAAGAGAATTAATTAGTTACATAAAATCTAAAACTACCTGATTAGTTACATAATTGTTGAAACTAAAAGGGGTAAGTGAGCTGTCGAGATATTAATAGAATATCATACAATAGGAAAGAATCATAGGGCGGCATCGACTGACACCGCAACACGTGTCGACTAAGACAGCCTCTCGTGTCAACTCAAAGGGTGTCGTCTTGTCTAGACTCGTCTCGTCTCGTCTCGTCTAGTTTGGTGTCGTTAGAGCGTGTCGACTGACACCGTAGGACGTGTCGACTAAGATTGCCTTTCGTGTCGACACAAGGGGTGTCGTCTCATCTGGATTCATCTTGTTTGGTCTCGTCAGAGCGTGTCGACTGACACCGTAGGTCGTGTAGACTAAGACCACCTTTCGTGTCGACTCAAAGGGTGTCGTCTCGTCTCGTCTCGTCTCGTCTCGTCTGGTTTAGTGTCGTTAGAGCATGTTGATTGATACTGTTAGACGTGTCGACTAAGACCGCTTTTCATGTCGACACAAGGGGTGTCATCTAAAATGAACAACACTTACCTGGGCAAGAGATACGTGTCGTTCAAAGAGTTAAGGCGGAGGTATGGGTGGTTAATAACCCTTGATATGACCGATAAAGGTCTATTTATAACAAGGCGCTATGCTATAGATGACATGGAGTTCTGAAACTCCCGCCTGAACGCGATCGCCGTGTTATTAGATAAATCGTTTAGACTTCTAATAAGATGCAGGATTAGACCCTGTGTTTAAAAAATGAAAAAAGAGACTACAATGCAATAATTTTCAAGTTGCGTTCAAATACCGAATGTTGGGCCTAGACCCGTGTTATCAGGGTTCAACGCAGGGCTTAGCCTTGCGTTTCAAACCCCAAACGCAGAGACTATCTTTGCGTTCTAATCCTCCTAAACATACGATCAACCCTTGCGTTTTCCAACATGACATTTATTCTCTAAGGTCATGTATTATGAAACCTGTTACCAGAGAGCTGTTAAAACCTCAGTACATCCCCAGCAGAGTCGCCATCTTTTGTTCAGTGGGAAAATTGAAAGAAAAATTGAGAAAATGAATTTGTATTATTCTTTCTAATAGACTTAGAAAAAGAATTAATTAAAATTCTCGCGATGCAATATCTCTCTAATAAACTTAGAAAAAAATATTACCATCTTCTTGGTTGATTTCCCAATTTACAAAAGAGAGAAGGAATTAACTGAGATCATTCCTTTTGTTTAAAACTGGTTTCTTCTTGGTGTCGATGGAATGTCTCCCTCGAATGCTTGTGTTGAGTTTGTTTTCTGTTGATGATCCGAACGTCTCACTTCACTGGAATGATTGATGAAACTTGTGGGGGAAGTTAACTAGAACCCTTTACGAGTTTATGAACTCCGTGCGAATTTAAACTCTGTGAAAGAGTTAATTTGAACCAAAAATTTGGTTAATAAGCGAAGCACTAAAACTCCAAGAGTTTTTGTTGCCGAAGAAGCCTTAGAAAAAATGAATGCTGATCTCCCCAAAATTTTAGCCCTTTTGATGATCTGCCAAAAGATCTGATTTAAACTGATTTTTCAGCTATTTATAAGAGATTAAGGGGTGTAACTGATCCCTAAAATTGCTCCTAAGTAGGGGAGTGATCCCCTTAAATTGTGGAAAATGGTTTTGAATCCGTTTAGCTCGTGTTTGAACGAGTCAAACGCAGAATCCGCGTTCTGGCAGGAATTCTATGTGTAAACACAGTAGTTTAGAAGCTACGTTGGGTGTAGTTGGGAGCTGCGTTGGGAGCTTTTGGAAGTTACGTTGAGCAGCAGATAGAAGCTACATTTACGGTTGTTAGAAGTGGCGTTGGGCAGCATTTAGAAGCTGCATTGGGCAATATATGAAAGTTGCGTTTGTGGCTATTGGAAGCTGCGTTGGGCAGTGTTTAGAAGTCGCGTTGGGCGGCAGATGAAAGCTGCGTTTGCAGCTGATTGTGAGCTGCGTTGCTTTGACTCTGGAATGTGGCCATTTGGTTTCACTTCTGGGATGCAGAGATGAGTTCTACGTCTTGGACTGAAGAGATCATTGATTTATAATCTCTTCAGTCAAAGCGTTACAAAGATCATCGTTTTATAATCTATTTTTAGCTTATTAAAATGTGAGAGTCGTCAGATTGTAACTCTCGCTATTAACTGTGAAGACCGTTGAATCAGAGCTCTTATTGGTTGCCGTAAAGGTCATCGAATCATAACTTTTCTCGATCCACGTGAAAATCTTCTAATTGTAGTCTTCATTTTTGTCGTTGTGAGAGTCATTTGATTGTAACTTTCATCATTGGTGTTTGATGGGGATCAGCTATTTGCAGTAATTTTTAGACAGCCTACACAATCCCTCCAAAGTTTTCGAAAGTTAGCGGTTGACTGGAACGAATTTTATGAATACTTTAGATTCCCAAATTGGTTTGAAACCTGTTGTTGAATGATGGTTCACTATATATGTTTTAAGATATCATGAACCTAATTGTAGAATTTTGTTGCACAAGACGCGTATGCTGTTGACCTGCAATGTAATAAGATTTTTAGCAAATCCTCAGCCATTAACGGATTTGATGTGTCTTTACCGATTACCGTTTGAAATCGGGCTAGCATGTGAATTATCTAAGTCTGTTCCACATGTAACGTTGTGCTAAAAGAATAAATTCTTTTAGGCTTAGTGCTATGATATTGAATACGTAGACTCCGATAAATATGCGAGACGCAGTTAAAATTTGACCAGAATGATCCTTGTAGGAATTGATGAACACCCAAGCCGCAGCCTAAACTTAGCTAAAATGATCCTTACACGAATTGATGAACACCCAAGGCGTAGCCTAAACTTGGCTAAAATGATCCTTGTACGAATTGATGAACAACCAAGGCGTAGCCCAAATTTTCCTAAAATAATCCTTATATGTATTGATGAACACCCAAGGCGCATCCCAAATTTGGCTAAAATGATCCTTATAGGTATTGATGAACACCCAAGGCGCAACTGCAAGAGTTGGGTAAGAGAGCCAAGGACAACGAAGCAACCATAGAAACACCAGCTGCAAACTTTGTCAACGAGGTCATCCTCAGTGAGGTTGAGCACCTCTGGGCTGAAGACAGATCTATTATCATAGACAGAGAGAACCACAAGTCCGTATGAGAAGGACCTTATCCCAAGTTTGGCAAGCAAGGCAGCCTTAGAGGAACCCACTTTGTCTCCTTTCTTGATCAACTCAACTGGGGTAATGATTTTAATACTACCCTTGTTAATCTTAGTGGGAATGTTAAGCCATTTGAAAGGATGAGTAACACGGGGGATCAAGCTCGATATTGTCAGCGACATCAATTATAACCTGTCTGTACTCATCCAAGAGGCTGCATAGTTTCTTTTTGTAAATCAGTTTCTTCTCGGCTTTTGTCACATTGACGGCCATTGCTAACTTCTCTCCAAGTATCTGAAGATGTATAATAGCCCTATTGGTTATGACGAATTAGCGCATAAGTGGAACTTGTGTTTTTGGCGTTGAAACGCAGGAGAAAGCCTTGTGTTTTTGGAGTTGAAACACATGAGGAAGACCTGCGTTTTTGGAGTTGAGACGCAGGAGGAAGTCCCGTGTTTAGGATTCTGAGACGCAGTAATAAGCATCTAGGAATTCAACCGACTCAATGTGAACGCAAAGATTGCGTTTGGGCGGGATTTTCTCCTTAGATCTCGTCCTGATTTGACAGCTCATAGCTGTCTATAAATAGACCATCAGGGTCAAATCAAAAGTCATTCAACTTTCCTATTCTTCTCTGGCGAATGCAACATGATGACGTAATCAATGGTGCCACACAAATATCTGAGAAGTTGTTTTGTCGTTCCAATGGTCTGTAGTCGGACGATGCATGTATTGTGAAAGTTTGTTAACTACATAGGTAATATCCGGACGAGTGAGGGAGAGATACTGAAGAATTCCAACTATAGCTCGGAACTCGGTTGGGTCAGTAAGGGTTGTACCCGACTGAAGTGTAAGGATAGGCGAGGTGGCAAGTGGAGTTATGACCGTGCGAGCATCGGTCATCTTTGTTCGAGCCAGCAAGTCAACAATGTATCTTCGCTGTGAGAGGAGAAGACCTTGAGGGTGAGAAACAACTTCAACTCTAAGGAAATATTCAAGTGGTCCGAGGTCGTTGAGCGAGAAGCGACGTGTGAGCACCGAGATGAAGTCCTGAACTGATGCTGCATTGTTACCTGTGATGATGATGTCGTCAACATAAACAAGTAACATGATTGTTATGCCATTATCATTGAGAATGAATAAGGAGGTGTCAGCTACTGAGTTCGAGAAGAAAGATGCAAGAAGGAACTGTCGAAGCTCATTGCACTAGGCTCGAGGTGCTTGTTTGAGACCATAGATCGCCTTCTGCAATCTACAGACATGATGTGGGTTGTCGGCATCAACAAAACCTTAAGGTTGAGCCATGAAGATACCTTCAGTGAGGGTTCCTTGTAGAAAGGCATTGTTAACATCAAGTTGATGAAGATCCCAACCTCGGCTGATGGCAAGCGAGAGGATGAGACGAACTATGGTCGGCTTTACAACCGGACTAAACGTCTCATGATAGTCCACTCCTGGTCTTTGATGAAACCCCTTTGCCACTAAGCAAGCTTTGTACCTATCTATTTACACCCCACAATATTTTGCACACCATTAGGAGGTACCAATTCTCAGGTGCCATTACGAACCAAGGCATCAAACTCCTCAGACAACACCTGTCACCATCTGCTATCTTTGATAGCCTGAGTTACACATGTGGGTTCAATATCTGTGGCAAGTTGAGCAGAGAGGCTAAGTTTATTGATAGGTTTGTGAATGTTTTTTCGGGAATGGGTGATGATAGGTGAGGTGCGGGTCGAAGGTGGTGGTAATGGGTTGTCTGGGACTTGGGAAGGTGGGGGTAAGGCCAGGGGAATGGCTGGCAAGTTGCTGAGTGCTGGTTCAGGTATTAGGGTGGGTAGTTATAGAGGCAAGGTGTTTGTGGGGGTAGGCGAGGTGGGAGGTGGGTTGGGAAGAGGGAGAGGGAGGGAGAGAGGCAATGTTTGGTGTTCTACCAAATCCGTTTGTGTGTTGGAGTCGACGGGCAGGGAGTCGCTAGAACAAGCTTCGGATGATGTGTATGAAGTCGGGAGAATGACATGATGTAAGATCCAGGTGTCGTATGTCGACTCATCGAGGCGAGCGAGATGCGGATTGAATTTATACATGGGAAACTCAGACTTAACAAATTGAACATGACACGAGATGAAAGTCTTTTGAGTTTGTGGATCAAGACACATATAAGCACCCTGTGTAAGGGAGTAGCCAAGGAAGACACAAGATGTGGAGCGACTGGCAAGTTTGTGAGGCAAGTATGGACGAAGCCAAGGATAACACAGGCATCCAAAAGCTCGAAGTTTGGAGTAGTTTGGTGGCGACTTAAAGAGTTTATTAAAGGGAGATGTCATATGAAGAGTGGGTGTAGGGAGACGATTTATGAGGTATATTGCAGTGGAGAAGGCATATGACCAGAAGGAGAGTGGTAAGACAGCTTTAGAGAGAAGGGAAAGACCTGCTTAAACAATATGACGGTGTCTTCGTTCCGAAAAACCATTATGTTCTGGAGTGTGAAGTGGCGAGGTGAGATGCGAGATGCCATTTGTGGATAGATACGTCACCAGTCCAGTGGATTTGGCGAGACCCATGTATTCCCCCCCATTATCTGAGTAGAAGGTTACTATTTTCTTTTTGAAGTAATTTTCAACAAGGGCTTTGAAACTCTGAGTAGAAGGTTACTATTTTCTTTTTGAAGTAATTTTCAACAAGGGCTTTGAAACGAGGAAAAATAGTGGCGACATCAATTTTCTTTTTGAAGTAATTTTCAACAAGGGCTTTGAAACGAGGAAAAATAGTGGCGACATCAGATTTACATTTGAGAGGGTAAGCCATATGTAGTGAGTGAAGTGATCTACGAAAATGACATAGTATTTGTAACCATCAATAGAATAAATAGGCAAAGTCCACACATCATAATAAATAGTTTGCAGAGGAGAAGTAGACACAATTGATGATTAAGAGAAATGTAGTTTATGACTTTTATTGCAAAGAGTCATTACAATGAGATTGCTTTGAATTAAATGAATCTAAAGCTAGACTGAATTTAGAGATGATATGATGTTGGATTCACTCGGATGGGTGACCAAGACGATGATGGCAGTCACTAGAAGACACTTTGACACTAGAGTGGGCCGAAGGATGAGGTGCGAGTTGCGAGGTCGACCATTCATACACACCATTTTTAGGTTGTCCTTCTAGTAGTGTTGCCCCTGATAGTAGATTCTTCACATGAAAGGAAGATTGTAAGAACTCAATAGACATATTATTTGATTTGCAAAATTGAGATGTGGAAATAAGATTTCTTTTCATGTTAGGAACAAATAAAACAACATGTAATTTAAATGTATAGGAGGATGCTTTAAGAGAAGAGGCGCCAATTTTGGAAATGTGTAACCCAGTACCATCATTGATAGTAATATCGTCAGACCCATCGTATGGAGCATGAAGGGAGAGGTTGCCGAGATCGGTTGTGACATGGTGGGATGCCCCACTGTCGAGAAGCCATGTTGGGGTTTCGACATCTGATGATGTGGCAACATGCGCCTTTGGTTACCACTGAGATCCAGTGTGCGAGGTGCGAGGGACGCCTTGCGAGGAGGAGGGTACTAGCTGAAAGGGAGGACACTGAGCAATGGTGTGGCCTTGTTGTCGGCATCCTTGACACTTGCCGAGATATGGCATCTGCTGGCGAGACGCGACTTGCGGAAACTGAGACGGATGTCATCTTGGAGCGGGGTGTGAAGATTGCGCCTTGTTGGACGAGGAGTGGTTTGAACTATTTTACCTGGTTGATGCAGCGTTAGTTGTAGTGGGGTGCGGGGTTGAGACGGATTGCGACTGTTGAAGCGTGAGTTCCCTGTTGATGAGTATCTCATGAAGCTCGTCAAATGAGATGGGGTTGTCCTTGCCTTCCACTATATCAGCGATTTGGCGTTAGTCATCATCGAGACCTTCTAAGATTTTCTCAATGATGTCCTCATGGTCCATTGGTTTGCCAAGTGCAGCGAGGCGATCAATTCGACACTTCACATATTGCATATAATCCGAAACGAATTGTGATCCCTTCATGGCTCGCTTGATCTGATCCTTGATTTTCTTGATGTGACCACGTGTCAGGTGAGTATAAGTGTTGGCGAGAGTTTGCCATGCTTCACGAGAGGTGGTCTCCTGTTGGATGAGAGGGATGAGAGAGGGGGAAATGGAACCGACAAGGGCGCCAAACAACAATTTGTCTTGTCGAGTCCAATGCAAAAAATCTAGGTTGGAAGCTTCAACGTTGTTGGTAGTGATGATGCGAGGAGGACATGGATGAGATCCATCTATGTATTTGTAGAGGTCATAGCCGATGAGAATGGCCTCAATCTGGAGTTTCCAAGCACTATAATTTGTGGAGGTCAATTTATAGATGGATTGATGGGAAGTGTTGATGAGTTGAAGGTTTTGGGTTGGATTTTCTAGGTTGGGGATGATAGTGATCTGAGAATCAGTCGTCATAGTGAAGATTGTGGCTAGGGTTTGCAAAGGAGTGGTGGGAGGAGGTCTAGAACGGGAGGTCTAGAACGGCTCTGATACCATGTAAAAGTATTGAAATTGTTGAATAATGGCATAGCCTTTTTCATTGATATTAGGAGATATTTATAAGATTATAAGAGAATCAATTAGTTATATAAAATCTAAAACTACCTAATTAGTTACATAATTGTTGGAGCTAAAAGGGGTAAGTGAGCTGTCGAAATATTAACAGAATATCATAAAATAGGAAAGAATCACAAGGTGATGTTGACTGACACCGCAGGACGTGTCGACTAAGACCGCATTTTGTGACGACTCAAAGGGTGTCGTCTCATCTGGACTCGTCTCGTCTCATCTCGTCTGGTTTGGTGTCCTCAGAGCTTGTCGACTGACACCGTAGGACGTGTCGACTAAGATCGCCTTTCGTGTCGACAAAAGAGGTGTCGTCTCGTCTGGACTCGTCTCGTCTCATCTTGTCTCGTCTCGTCTGGTTTGGTGTCGTCAGAGCTTGTCGACTGACACCCTAGGACGTGTCGAGTTACATAAAATCTAAAACTACCTAATTAGTTACATAATTGTTGGAACTAAAAGGGGTAAGTGAGTTGTCGAGATATCAACATAATATCATACAATAGGAAAGAATCACAAGGCGGTGTCGACTGACACCGTAGGGTGTGTCGACTAAGACCGCCTTTCGTGTCGACTCAAAGGGTGTCGTCTCGTCTGGACTCGTCTCGTCTCGTCTCGTCTGGTTTGGTGTCGTCAGAGTGTGTCGACTGACACTGTAGGACGTGTCGACTAAGACCGTCTTTCGTGTTGACACAAGGGGTGTCGTCTCGTCTGGACTCGTCTCGTTTGGTCTCGTCAGAGCGTGTCGACTGACACCGTAGGTCGTTTAGACTAAGACCGCCTTTTGTGCCAACACAAGTGGTGTCGTCTCGTCTGGACTCGTCTCGTCTAGACTCGTCTGGTCTGGTCTGGTTGCAATTCCTGCAACCTTAATAAGGTCTCACTAAGATATAATTCTTCTAAAATATACAAGTAAATTTTTCTATAGATGCACATCAAGAAAAAACCAAAGGAAAGTTATTGTTTGATTTACCTGGACGATGGCGGGGTGATTACGTGAACTCACCATAGAAGTCCACTCTGCAAATCCTTTGTGTTGTTTCTGCATCTCTTCTGAAATCCCTCCAATTGCCACTGCAGCATTTATTTTTCTCTCCATCTCTTCGTACAATTTCTACGAACGCGAAGGGGTTAGCAAGACCAATCAAAAAGACATTCTTCCCTACAACTGAGCCAGAACCCCAATTATCTTTGAGCAAGAGGAAGTTTTTCATAAACTTGGAGCAAATATGAAGTCCTTCTCCGAGGCGAAGGAGTTTAATGTTCTCAACCATAATGAAAATCCCGTTCAGTAACCTCCAATATTTACAAAGCCTTTCAAACATTATATTACTGTTTAAATTAAAAAAATAAGTCATCTTGATGAGTGTTTTATGAAATCAAGCACAGTCATGCTGTTACCAACTTGATGAAATTTTCAGTCATGCTAACTACCTTGTGCTTAACATTAAAAGAAGCAGAGAGAGATGTCATTTACCTTCATTCTCACCCTTTCTTCTGTTTTGGGATCATCTAGTATTTTCGATGATTCTGAGAAATACACAGCTGGAGATCTAGGCTCAACCTTGAATTTCCTACAGAAAGGAAGCCAGGATCTTGCAAAGATTGATGCCTCCAAGAGTGCATAGAATGTAAATTTAGACCCAAAATCATCGGATAAATATACACTGAGCTTCTCTGCTGGGTAGTCATAGGCCATTACTGACAACACTGTGTTAATAACCATAACTGGTGGTTCTATTGTGGGATCGGCAGTACATACAAAAACATCCACTCTGGGCAATTTATCCTCAAATCTGAAAAAAGAAAAAATGTTTCATGGTTAGTATGCACGGGAGATTTAATAACTGAATATTTTCTTAAAACAAGAAATAAATTACCATGGTAAATCTCTTATAACTATTAGAATTAATATAAAACTACAATCCTCACCCCCTCAGCATAACTCCGGAGTTTTGGGTGTAATGATTAGAGGGACTAAAATTCAGATGGTATCAGAGCAACCCAGGTTCAAATCCCACCGGTCATAAATTTTAAGTGGATTTTCTAAATGTTGACACCGCTGCGTGAGTCCAGGTTTCAGCCTATAAAAAAAGAGCATTCAACCTCCGGGGCATGTTAGAATTAATATACCCTCATCATAACTTCGGAGTTTTGGTCTAATGGTTAGAGGGGCTAAATTTAAGTTTTGGTCTAATGGTTAAAGAGACCAAATTTAAGAATACCCTAATAAATTCAATAGCATTTGACCTCTTAACTGTTATTGAAAATTTGAGTTCTCCAACCATTATGCAGGGTCACATTATATCACTATATGAAATTCTAGTGAAAAAGGCTTAACACACACCTTTCTCTCACCATTCAAAAGAAATTTAATTTTGTCACTTCAAAAGAAATCAGCCTATGTGCGAGAATGAAACCATTTTATGTTTCACTTGATAACATTTCCCCCATATATTTCCCTCTTGTTCTTTTGGTCAAATGGAATAGATATCCAACAATGAGGTGACTAATTTGCTGCATCTTTTATCTATAATAATTTGGGCTAAGGCCCTTACTTGGGAGGGGGGAAAAAGAAAAAAAGAAAAGAAAAGAAGAATAAGAAAAGAATGAGGTAAGTGATTTAACATTACCTTCTCCATCACAAACTAGAAATGAATGGAGGGGTTTCACTTTTCACTGTCACATTTACTTTTCAGTTCTAAGTGGCAATTGATATAGAGTTATGGGAATTTCGGATCATACAGACCAATATGGATATATAACAATCTTATTTGCTCACTATTTTGTAGAAGACTTTGGTTCAACCTTAATAATATAATAATTAGTAACAATTCTTGTTGTCCGAATCATGAGTTTTGTATGTTCATTTCAACCCTTGCATCTATTTGAGAACCACAGTTTAAACTTATGAAAGAGGAGATTGGGTTAGGAGAAGTTAATATAAATTGGACTAATATATTTTTGGTCCTTATATCCCAGGATCTTCCTGCATTGCCTTTGTATGCTGCATCCTTTATAATCAGATCATTAATTATCAAAATCACAACAAGGCCAGTCACTTAAATTGCAGCAGGGCGCTACCTATTCTTGTAAGAAAAACCATCAGTGAAATTATGACCTAGAGATAAATTTAGTATATATATTTATTGAATCTTTTTGAGGAAAATATAAATTTATTACATGCCCAAAAAATAAAATTTACCAAGTTGTCCTTACGTTACTTTTAGGTAGGGCCATGACAAAATCAAAATGTTAGGTAAGAAGGAAATTCAATACAATAGCCTATTTCTTAGTGACCCTTCTGTTTTGAGTAACCAACTTGGATACAATAACCTAATATTCTAATATCGCTTTAGCAGCGTAAATTGACGAATAAACAGATGAATTGAAAATTGTGATCATAGCTGTCCAGTGGATAGTTTGAGCTGACCATTCACTGCTACACGAGACATAGTGTAAGGATCATCAATGTTCTAACGAGGAGCATGGTGCTGTTAATGATCATGATCATGCGTATTTGAGAATAGAGTATGTGACTGTATATGTGGTGGGATACAGTGTGTTGGCAATCCACCCCCATGAGCAATCCCGGCCCAGTTCTTTCGTAACTCAGATTTACTTTGAACTAGGAGCGGGGGGGTCTAAAATATAACTGGCTTAGTAGCCAAAATGTGGCATACAACAACGGGACCAATTCTAGCTCAGATTTTTGTGAAATAATTAACACATTCAAAACTAGATCAGGTTCTCCTTTTTAAATGATATGGTGCCCACACTAGAGGATACCTTTGTTCAAAAAAATAAAAAATAAAAAAATAAAATTGGATTAGTGCACAGAAAAATAAGTGCCGCCTGGTTCCTGGTTGAGCTTGTGGCTTCATTTGGCGACCCAATGAAAACAAGGCCAAACTTGTATTATTTATTAACCAGTCAAGAGTCGATCTAGAGTAGGAGTTGGTTTAATTTGACTCTGACCTGTTTTTGAGGGCTAAAAATAAACTAGAAAAAGTTGGGCAAAAGTGATGTAGGACACGGACAATTTCATGGAGGAGTGGGACAATTACGAGCTAGATGTCGACTCATACGTATTATTGACTTCCGCAAAGAAACAATCATATCTTCTAATCCGGAAGGCGGATTCTGACATATTATATATGAAATCACCTATCTGGACGAGACGGAGCCAAACGGATTGTCAAATTTTTAAAATCTCATCAGTAATACTCAATTTTGACTGAAATCCGAAAATAATCAGCTTTTAGTTTATTTATAGTAATAAAGTTAGAGTCTATTTAGATTAGGAAATAAATTCAATGTTAGAGTTAAATTAGATTAGGAAACAAATTTAATTTTGATTCATGATTTGTTTTCTCTATTATAGGAAGTCTTTTTAGGGTAGGATTTGATACATTCTATTTCTTAGTAATTCTAGTCTTACTAGGAGTCTTATTTATTTTCTATTTAAGAAGAGTCATGTAACCCCATGGATTAGAATAACTTTTCATCAATAAAATTTCTCTTTTAATATTTTCTTCGTGGATTCAAAGTCCTTCATAGATTCGGAGATCGTTCTTTGTGGATTCAGATAACACTCATTGGTAGATTATGAGGTTATCACTTCCGTACTACGTTAATTGGTATGAGAGCCTTATTTTTCCGATCCGATGGCATGTGATGAAGCCTCTATTTTTTGAATACTGAGTTCGATGAGTTGAATATCGATGTTAATCAGATGAAGACTGTCATAGAGCGACTTGCATAGGCAGTGGAGCGTCTGAACACGGTAGGGGTTCAAAATCGCGTTGATGGTCGCCAACGACATGATTTGACTCCACATGACGAATTCAACAGCTACTACAATGACTATGAAACCCCATGCCACAGTTATGATCTCAGAGACCGTCGACAATAGGACAATTATGACACTAGAGGATTAAATGTATCATCCTTTAATGGAAAGCTTCATGCTAACGATTTCCTTGATTGGATTGATGAAGTGAATAAGTATTTTGAGTATGAGATAATCTAAAAAGATTGAATAGTTAAATTAGTGGTTTACAGATTTAAAGGAAAAGCATCTGCATGGTGGGATGAAGTATTGATAAATCGATACCATCAATGGAAGGATCTGGTTCGAACATGGGCAAAGATGAAGAAATTATTGAGAGACCGCTTCTTGTCTTCTAACGACAAACAATATTGGGTACCTTTAAAGATTCTTTTACGTTAGCCGCCCCAATCCATCTAGAGCAGAAGGTGGAGCAAGAACTTGAATAGAACGACAAAGGACCTTCGTCATGGATGTTTTTAGAGAGTTATCCAACTAGTTATGATTATGACAAAACTAAGAAGCCTCAATTCATTTCTAAGAAAGAGTTTGGATTTGTGAAAAGCACTGAAGAAGCAACAACAAAGACTTCATTAATTATGTCAATTATAGAACCAGATGCATTTAAGTGAGAGATTGTTAAGGAGACAGTTTCTCTAGTGGTAGACAACGAGACACTCACCATCGAAAAGGAAGATTCTGTCACCATTAAGCTTCATCCTGAGGTTTCTGATGTTGATGGCAATATGTTCATGAAGACGGATATTATACATGATATCGTGAGTGATGTTACACTTATTGATGTTATCCCGATGGAGGAAAAAGATAAAATCGAGAGTGAGGCAATTGATGATATGTGTGAATTGCTTAGTGAAGGGTACAAGGCAAAGGAGATGAAAGAATTGTGTATAGAGTATGAGAGAGGTAATTCCTTTTTGGAAGCAATGATCATCAATAATTTCAACAATGATGAGATGATACCGTAGACACTAGAATATGAGAAGCAACAAGGAGAATATTTAGAAAAGTTTTTCATGTCAACTACATAGTCACATACACATACCGTGGGAAAGATTCATAAACAAGTTTGATATAGAAGAAGTCCTAGCGGAGGAGGTAAAAGGACAAATGAAGAAAATCAATGCTAAACACAAGATGGATGCTGATCGATGCATGAGAAAAGAATTATTTATTGATGAAGCTACTATTCAAACAAATATAAACTTGGGGTCGAACTTCTTTCAACAAAGGAGACTGATGTAGGATGCTTAACGGACAATTTCATGGAGGAGTGGGACAATCACGAGCTAAATGCCGACTCATACGTATTATTAACTTTCGCAAAGAACAATTATATTTTTCTAATCTAAAAGTCGGATTCTAACATATTATATATGTAAATCGTCTATCTCGACTAGACGGAGCCAACCAAATTGTCAAATTTTTAAAATATCATCAGTAATACACAGTTTTGATTGAAATCCAAAAATAATCATCTTTTAATTTATTTTTAGTAATAAAGTTAGAGTATATTTAGATTAGAAAATAAATTTAGTACTAGAGTAAAATTAGATTAGGAAACAAATTAATTTTTGATTTATGATTTTTTTCCTTTATTATACGAAGTCTTTTTACTGTAGGATTTGATACTTTCTATTTTTTGTAATTCTAGTCATATTAGGAGTCTTATTTGTTTTTCTATTTAAGAAGAGTCATGTAACCCCATGGATTAGAATAACTTTTCATTAATAAAATTTCTCTTTTAATATTTTCTTCATGGATTCGAAGTTCCGTAGATTCGGAGATCGTTTTTTGTGGATTCATAGAACACATTTTGTTAGATTTCGAGGTTATCACTTCCGCGCTGCGTTAAAAAGTTAACCCAATTTTTCTCGAAGCAAAATAGACAAAACTAAGTCAGGTTTGTGCCTGGCCTAGGTTTAGTGGATAGCCAAACAGCCCCTGTGACTTAAAAAAAACACCGAACTATTTCTTGAGACTGAGAGAGGGAGCAATAAACTTGACCTTTGAGAAAGCCTGTGCTTGAAGGTGCAACGATATATGGGATTCCAGCGCAAAGATTGCGTTAAAACCCAATAGAATCCAAACCAGACCTCAGCCCCGAAGAGCCCAATCCAAGCCCATCGCCCCTTCTCTCCTCTGCTTGGGACGTGCGTAGCTCTATAAACCCACACCAAAACAATGCCCACAAACACACAGAATGAGAAAACCCTGTGAAATACCCAATTCTTCCCTCTCCTGCTCTCAAACAGAGGGCCAAGCCCATCTCTTTGTTCCTCTTCCATATCTCAGTAGGAGACATTGTGGTCATCATCAATGAGTTCATTATATATTAGACAATGGCTGCACGTTATCTTGTTGAGTAGCATGTGAGGTTGGAAGTAGTTGAGGGTATCCAAATGGAACCCACCGATGTTTGTGGTCCCCGGCAAAATGTTTTTTTGTGTGCTTGAGAGAAAAAGCCGAAATCGTAATGGTGGTTGATTAGAGACGCAATCCTCTTTTTCCAACTCTAGTGGCATAGTCTTCTTTGCCAGCCAAAAGCAGCAGCAAATGTTAAAAAAAAAAGGATGGCGGGCCCCACAAGAGATTGTTTACTGGCACCGAAAGTTTTGTTTGCACAAAAAAATTTTATTATTTTATTAGTGCATAGTGTTTATAAATAGGCCTAAAACTCTTAAGAATAAATTCATCCCAGAAACAACTCCTCTTATAGAAGAGTGAGAGAAAGAAAAAATAGAGAGTTTTTCTAATATTAAGGAGAGTGTTTGTGAGAATTCTTGGAGTGTATCTCGATCAAGAGGGGGTGTTCTTTTTAATCTAATTCTTTTGGAATATAAAAGAGCTAAGCGTCGTTATTGCACCGTGGAGTAGCTCCGTAAGAGTGAACAACGTTATATTTGTGAGCACTGTGATTGAATTTGTGTCTTATTCTATGATTCCAAAATCGTTTGGGTGTGTATTACGTCTCTGTTCGAGGCATTCTTGTTGAGCTATATCCTAATAATTGGTATCAGAGCCTGACTTAGAGTACATATATCTTCTTATTGTGTTCTCTGTGACTACCACTAAAAGTGAATCCTCAACATCAGAAAATAAGTTAGATTATCATTTACTCTTTAAAGGCATTGGATACTATTCACGAGTATAGTACTATTCATAAGTACTATTACTATTCACAAATACAGTTCACAAAAGACAGAATTTTTCGCCATGGGATCTATAGTTGAAGATAATATACTTCGGATTGAAAATTTTGACTGTTTGCGTCAGGAACAAGTTCTGTTGTAGAATTCATTATAACTGTTTATCGATTACAATGAATACAAAAGAGTGAGCTTCGTACTTTGTAAAACTACTCTTTACAACAAAAATTAAATTACAAGCTCCTTAGAAACAAACGCATGATCGTTGTTTGGATCGCTGCTTGTGCGGGATCTTTGCCTGTGCCAGGGGTGCGTTAGCCCGTGGACCACCGAATCACGAATTCTGATTGAATCGTAAAGGCTTTGGGGATTCTTCCTTCGTTTAGAAGCAAGAATAGTTTCAGTGAATATCTTATCGAAGTAAGATGAACACTCTTCTCAAGATCAAGTCAAAGCTTAGATCTTAAGGAACCTCATAATTATTGGAAGGAGATGAACTCTTGAAATTCTCCCAAAGTCTTTTAAAAATCTCTGCCTAATTGCTCAAGTAATAGCCTCTCTGCTCTCTTTTCTTGGAATTGCTCTAAAAATGCTTAGCCCCCTTTTGTAACCGCCGTCCCACTACTTAAATACCATATTTTTATGAGGTTAGTGGGTCTATATTAGTTAGTAACTGTCTCCCCACGTTTATGGTTGATCTCAAGCAGTTATGAAGCCAAAAAACCGTCAAAAAACGTGTTGTAAGCAACTCTATGGCCGAGACAGGGTTGTGTGTCTCGCACTTCCGAGACAGTTTGTACCGTCTTTCTTCAGATTTGGTGCGAGAGAGTTGTGACTATCTCGGCTTCCGAGACAGTTGCGACTGTCTCGTACTTCCGAGACAGTTTGTGTTGTCTCGTGTATTTTAGCTCTAACTCCCTCGTCCGATATCGGAATGAGATGATCCAAGATGCGTTGAAAAGCTTACGAAGAGCTCTACAACCTCCCATAGACTAGACACTCATGGAATGGATGAGACACACATGGTACTTTACCCTTTTGTGGGCGAAGCACAACATCCGGTTGAGTTGTTCCTTTATCGTTTAGCGTGTTTCACAGACTCGTACGCTTCGCCGACTTACTTCATGTGCTTTTTAGCTTCTCTATAATATCGGATGATATTCTTTGACTCAGATAATCCTCCTTGACTCAGATAGTAACATTCATCGTTTTTTTTCATCCCGAGCTATGCGCGAGAACCTATAGGTAATTTTTTATGCCTACATCGACGGTCAAAATTTTAGGTATTGGAGGATGCAGATAGAAGACTATTTGTACAAGAAGGATTTCTTCCTACCCCTCTAAGGAGTGGAGGGGAAACCTGAGAAGATGGACAACGATAAATGGAAGGTACTCGATCGTAAAACACTTGCCACCATCAGGATCAACCTTCACCAGCATGTGATTTACAACGTCTCACATGCGACCACCACTAAGGAGTTGATGGAGGCTTTGGCGACGCTATATGAGAAGCCGTCTATTTCAAATAAGGTGTACCTGATGAAGAGGCTATTCAATCTAAAGATGCAGCAATGAGCTCGCGTGGCGGACTTCTTGAACGAATTTCAGGCTGTGGTGCAACAGCTTGCTGCAGTGGATCTCAAGTTCGATAATGAGATCCAAGCTCTTCTGCTACTTTCTTGTCTACCAGATTCGTGGGAGAATTTGGTGATGGCGATGAGCAACGCCAATGGCAATGATAAGATAAAGCTCGACACGGTGATTGGGGCAATTCTAGATGAAGAATCTCGTTGCAAAGTCTCAGGAGATGAGGCCTTTAGCAGTGGGAGTGCTCTGCATATTGAGGCATGAGGACATGCACAGAAGAAGGGTAGGGGATGACGAGGCCGATCAAAGTCCAGAGGGAAGTTTAAAGGGCCGAACGCGTATAGTTACGGTGAAGGGAAGTGCTTCAGATGTGCAAAGAAGGGTCACTTTGTACGGGACTGCAGAGCTTCTGTTCCAGCATCAGCAGGGGATGATCAGGCTGATGGTGCAGCCAATCTCATGCACGAGACGGGTTCAGATGCACTTCTCTTATCTCTTGAAGACAAGAGTGATGCGTGAGTCATTGACTCCGACACATCTTTCCATGCAACGTCATAGCAAAAACTATTTTTATCGTTCGTGAAGAAGAACTTGGGGACAGTCTATATAGGCGATGATCAACCTTACAAGGTTTCTAGAAAGGGAAATTGTACCCTTAAGATGGAAGGCAGGACCACATTGACGCTGAACGACGTTCAGCATGTACCAGATCTCAGACGGAATCTTATATCAATCGAGCAACTGACTGATTCTGATTACAGAGTATCTTTCAAGCAAGAAAGATGGAAGGTGTCCAAGGGTGCCCTGGCGGTAGCACACGTCAAATGCCAGGGGTCTCTCCACATTGCTAATGGGAAGATCGACTGCTTGCTTGCTGCAGGACACGCATCATCATCATCCGCCGACTGCATGACTTGACATCGACGACTTGGCCACATGAGCGAGAAGGGGATGCAGATTATGGCCGCGGGAGAGAGGCTTTCGGGTCTAAGAAAGATCGATCTGACTTTCTGTGAGAACTACATCCTAGGCAAACAGAAGAAGGTGAACTTCAACAAGACCGGACCGACTTCAAAACTGCAGAAATTGGTGTTTTTCTTTTATTGATGATGCTACTAGAAAACTGTGGGTGTTCTTCTTGAAGCACAAGTCAGATGTTTTCATCATCTTCAAGAAGTGGCTTTCCTGTATGGAGAACAAAACAGGTAATAAGCTGAAGTGTCTGAAGTGTAATAATGGAGGTGAGTATTGCAGCCAAGAGTTCGAGATCTTCTGCTCATCCCATGAGATTAGGAGACTAAAGAACGTTCCAAGCATACCTCAGCACAACGGAGTGGCGGAGCGTATGAATCGCACTATCTTGGAGCGTGCCAGAAGTATGAGGATCCACTCCGGATTACCGAAGAATTTTTGGGCCGATGGTGTGAATACTGCTGCATACATGATCCACCGTGGGCCATCCGTAGCTCTTAGTTATGAGATACCTAAAGAGGCTTAGACCGGAAAGAAACTAAAGCTAGAGTACTTACGAGTATTTGGTTGTGATGCCTATGTCATGACCAATCCTGCAGACCGATCAAAGCTTCATCCAAAGTCAAAGAAGCTCTATTTTATCGGCTATGGAGGAGATGAGTATGGGTACTGATGCGCGCAAGGTGGTGCGTAGTCATGACGTCGTGTTGCATAAGGATGCGGTGTACAAGACCAAAGAGGTGAGTGAGAGTCAGCTATCTCCCCCTCTTTTCCTAGATATTACAGACAATAAGGACAACGATGAGATACTTGTCAACATTGAAGACAGAGACCAAGAGAACGTGCCGGATGCACAGCAGCAGGATCCGGCAGAGCTGCCAATCGTAGTTCGCAAAGCTCTAAGAAATCCGAGGGTGCCAGAAAGGTACCTTTCCACTAAGTCTTATCTTCTCCTGACTGATAATAGTGAGCCAGAGAGCTATGAGGAGGTATAACAGACTGACAAAGATCGGGGTTAGTGGGAGTTTGCCATGGAGGAAGAAATAAAATCCTTAACGAAGAATGGGACTTGGGAGCTCGTAAAGCTTCCAAGAAGGCGAAAGGCTCTTCACAATCGGTGGATTTATCAGGTCAAGGATGAAGCCGATGGATGGAGAGGCTACAAGGCGAGGCTTGTAGTGAAGGGCTATGTGCAGAAAGTAGTGATAGACTATTCTGACGTTTTCGCTCCCGTCGTCAAGTTAACCACGATCGGGACTGTGATGAGCATTGTGGCAGTTTGAGATCTTCATCTAGAGCAGATGGATGTGAAGACGACATTCCTTCATGGAGATTTGGAGGAAGAGATCTATATGCATCAACCAGTGGGCTTCGAGGAACGAGGCAGGGGGGCTTCGTGTGTCGCCTGCGTAAGTGCTTGTACGGCCTGAAGCAAGCTTCGCGACAGTGGTACATGAAGTTTGAGAACTTTATGGAGGAGAATGGTTTTCTCAAATGCGACACAGACCACTGCTGCTTCATCAAGAGGTATAGTGAATCCTATGTGATACTCTTGATTTATGTTGATGACATGTTGATTGCTGGACCTGACTTGGCCT